GGAATGCCAAAAGAAAGATGAGTAAAGGCATAGAACATGAACAAATAATTTATAGAAAAGGAAACTTTCCAAAGAGGCCAATAAACATATGAGCAAATACTCAAATTCAATAACAGGAGAATTGCAAGTTAAAACAATTACATATGGCTTTACACCCATATTTGGCATTAGAGGATAATGCCAAATGTTGGTAGGCATATAGACACTTAAGAAGCTACTTTGATTGTTAATGGGAATAGAGCCTGGTGCAGTAATTCTGGAAAGGAATGTGGTAGTGTTTAAACAAAGGGCATAAGAGTATAGTATATGTAGTTCCAATATACCAATGTTAAGTGAAATAAGCCAGACATAAATAGACAAAAATTACATACTTCCATTTATATGAGGTACCTAGAATAGTCAAATTCATAGAGACAGAAAGTAGATTAGTAGCTAGTAGGGGCTAGCAAGGGAGAGAATGAGGAATTATTGCTAACTGGGTATAGTTTCAGTTTGGGATGATGAAAAAGTTCTGGAGCTGGATAGCGATGATTGTTGAAAAACAGTGCAAATGTACTTAAAGCCACTGCACTGTACACTTAAAAATGGTTAAAATGATATATTTTATGATAAAATGGTAAACGTGTATTTCACCACACACACTTAACAGTAGGAAACCAGTAATCCAATTAGAAAATGGATAAAAGACATGAATAGACATTTCATCAAAGAGGGGATATGGATGGTAAATAAACAAATGAACAGATGTTCAAAACCATTAATAGGGAAATGCAAATCAAAATCACAATGTGTAGTGGTCTACACAACTATCAGAACATCTGAAAATAGATGATAACAACAAATTCTGGCAAGGATGTGGAGAAACTGGATCTATCCAGCTTGCTGGTGGCAATGTGAAATGAAAATAGTTTGGCAGTTTCTTATAAAACAAAACATGTGCTGACCACATCACCCAATCTCATTATTGGGCATTTATCCCAGAGAAATGAAAACTTATGTTTACACAAAAACCTGTATATGAATGTTTATAGCAGCTCCATTTGTATTAGCCAAAAAAATTGGAAACAACCTAAATATCCTTCAAAATATGAATGGTACATTCATAAAAGGGAATACTACTTAGCAATAAAAACTAATAAAATATTGATAAATGTAGCAACTTGGATAGTTCTCAAGGGGAATTATGTTTAGTGAAAGAACCAATCTCAGAAGGTTACATACTATATGATTCCATTTGTCTACATTCTCAAAATGACAAAGTATAGAGATGCAGAACAGATTGGCAGTTGTTAGAGACCAGGGATGGTTGGTGTGACTATAACGGGATAGCACAAGGAAAACCTCTTTGGTGACGGAACAGCTCTGTATCTTGACTGTGGTAGTGGTTACATGAAACTATACATGAGGTAAAACTGCATAGAAGTACACACACACACATACACACACACACAGATGAGTTAACGTAAAACTGGTGAAAAAGGAATATGGTCTATAGCTTAGCTAACAGTATGACACTAATATCTATTTCCTGATCTTGATATTGTACTACAGTTATATAAGACATCCTCATTGGGGGAAGCTGGATGAAGGGTTCAGGGTACGCTTATGTGTCATTTTTGTAACTTTCTATCAGTCCCCAATTCTTTCAAAATTAAAAAGTTAAAAAAAAGGTCTACATGCACTTAAAGCAATATATATTTTGTAAGACAATACATGAATATACAATAAACCCACTGGAATGTCTCTAAGGGGAATGAGTAATAAAATGAAATAAATTATTGTTAGCCTTGCACTGGCTAATGATGATGACAGTGTGCCATAAAAATAGGAATATGATGAATTTCAAAGAGGTTATAAAAGTATACTTTAACTCTTAATACAAATAAACCTCTTTATAAAAGGTATTTTATAAGAGCCTAGATTATGGGGCAGACAAACTATGGATGAAATCCTAGCTCTGCCACTTAGCAGCTGTGTGACTGCGCAAACTACTCTGCTTCAGTCACCTTATCAATAAAAAAGGGAACAATGTAACTCATGCCCAATGTTCTCAGAAGTGTTAAATGGGAATAATGTAGGTAAAGTAGTTAGCACAATGCTTAGCACATAGCAAGCACTCAGTTATTAGCAATTATTGTTATGATTATAAATGCAAGCACCAAAATTACCTTTCAAACTGGCTGACAAAAGATATAACATTTTATCTTTCCTCTAGAAACTAAAACTAAACTGGTGAGATCAGAAACTCTGAATATTTTTCATTATTATATTCTGAAGTTTTATACACAAATAAAATACTTGTGAAATAAATGAACAATTACAAGGTTTAATCACTAAATCTCATCACTAAATCTTTACTATGTACCTAAAGTTATGTACCTTCATCCTTCATGTTCCGATCTATCTGTGGACCAGCATTCCTTTCTCGGAACTGTATGCCCTGTATGTGTCTTTGCATAGCTTCCTGTATTACTTCAAACAATGGTTGATCCTGTTTGAGACATAATGGATGTTACCTCTGTTAGAAATCACATTTTTCTTATCGTCTCCCAAATTCCACAACTGAAGTTTTGTGGAAACATATATTTTTCCCTTAGAAGGAGAAACGGGGATAAGGGGTGGGACTGGGGAAAGAAGCAGCTCCTATACATCATATAATAGATTAGACCTTTGGCATATGAACATTTAACATACTGTAGTTTTAACTATAAATTCTGTGACATGAAATAATTTGTAATTTGCTGATACATGAAAAATAATCTTGTGAGCTTGTGTAATCTGCGTTAGAGTGAACAGTTCAGCTAATAAATGAATCTAGCTTATTATACAGAAATCTGAGTTTTAAATTGGCATTGCTGTTCTAATTCATCCACATACATAGCAATGGAGATAAACTATATACTATAATGGTAATTTACTTTAGGTTAAAAAAAATTTGGACAAATATTCTTTGAACACTTCATGATAGAAACATTGTAGTGACATAAATCTATGCTAGCCCTGAGGTAGCTTAGAAGTCCTCCATATCAAATAAACTATAACATAAATGCAGATCAGAAGTGGCAAAAGTCCAATATCCCTGGGGGGAAAAAAACCACAAAAAAAAGTTTATTCATTCTGCACTGCTCATAAGATAAACTCTGAACTCCCTGGATTGGTAGCCAAGGCTCTCCACAACCTGGTCCACCCTTTCCACAATCCCTTACTACCCTGCAGGTACCCTACACAAAAAGCCAAACTAGACTGAGCAGTCTGTCCTAAACTGTGCGCCAGTCCACCCTGTGCTTTATTATTTATTTCATCTTTAATATCTTCTCACAACTTCCTTCATCTCTGATGAAATCCTATTCACTTTTCAAGGTTTAGTTTAGGTGAAATTTTAGCTACTTTCTGTAGTCCTCCCTGAGACCCACCTACTAGATTATCTCTCTTTGTTTTATGAGACTAGCACTTCCCTCTTTTTTGCAATGATTGTATTATATACACATCACCTCTTCTACCATGTTGCAAGCTCTTTAGGCAAAGAGCAAGTCTTATCTCTGCAATCTCTCATAGTAGCAGCAGGTACTAAATAAATACCAATATTTGAAGAATTTGTAAGATTCAGATTCTTAATTTTACATATATTTTATATTAGAAGCTAAAAGTCATTTTTCAGGAAAAAGAATTATTTTAAGAAATGATCTTTACCAGTGTGCCAGCAGACAAAGGAGCAGAATCATCTGTAGGATACATTCTGGAAACTGGGCACCTGAGAATGTCTAGACCATTTGGGACCATTTTACAATAATCCTGAATACACTGCAGCCACCACCACACAGCATCCCGGCAGTTGTATCTGGCATGAGTTCCTTCACCCAGGAGATTAGGAATGAGACCATGTCTCAGGGTACCAGCAAATGCTAAAATAATATTCCTAAAACAACAGAATTAGGTGAATCATTTGACATGAAAACAATCACTTAAAAAAATTGAAGACAAAAAAGTCACTCTTGGTAATCATTATTTTTTATGTGTTTTCTCTCCTGCCCTTATTTCTTTGTATTTTCATGTAGAAAGAGGTCATAATATAAAATAAGCACTGAATTGAAAGTCAGGCACCTTGATCCTAGCCCTGTCTTTTTCTCTAACAATCTGTGTGACTAACCACCTCTGGGAGAATTTTTTTTCATCTCTGGAGTTTGGGATTGGAATGGGTGATTTTTAAGGTCCCTCATAGCTCTAGGTTTTACTTTTGAAATCTCTCGTATTTCAAAATCTGAGTAACTAAGAACATTGAATCTTATTACTTTAAATAGCAGATACCAAGAATTAAACAACCATATAAGAAAATAAATGGGTAAAAACTGACCTTGAAAAACATAATTTATTTTCAAAAACTTGTAGAGAATATTTTATCTTTCAAAGTGTTATTCTACTATCATACACCAAATGACAACTTTGTAAGATGGCATGGCATTCTAAAAAGAGCATGAAAGTGAGAAATAAGAAGACTGAGATTTAAATCCTAGTGTTGCCATCTGTATGACCTTGGAAAAGGCATTTAAAATATCTAGGCCTCAATGCTTTTTGGCTAAATCATTTAGAAATTTAATTAATTCTATATATCAGTTCAATGCCCATTTCTTTAAAAAATTTTTTTTAAAATTTTTGGCTGTGTTGTGTCTTCGTTGCTGTGCATGGGCTTTCTCTAGTTGTGGCGAGTGGGGACTACTCTTCATTGCGGTGTGCGGGCTTCTCGTTGCGGTGGCTTCTCTTGTTGCAGGGCACGGGCTCTAGGCATGAGGGCTTCAGTAGTTGCGGCACATGGGCTCAGTAGTTGTGGCGCACAGGCTTAGTTGCTCCATGGCATGTGAGATCTTCCTGGACCAGGGATTGAACCCCTGTCCCCTGCATTGGCAGGTGGGCTCTTAACCACTGTGCTACCAGGGAAGTCCCATGCCCATCTCTTAAATTACAGTGTAAGAGGAACTTTTTATCTTCGCAGTACAAAAGTGTTAGTATGGACTGTGACACTTCCAATTAATAAAAAGTTAGAGTATTAGCAATCTTAATCATCTAGAACATGTCACACATGAGAAAGTTGAATAAAAAGTCCTCTGTCCATGAACATCTCTGCAGAGGGTGGAAGTAGAACTATCTGTGGTAGAGACAGCCATGTGTCCACCAAAATGGCTTTCCTATACATCCCAGCCTACCTTACACTTGGCTGTGGCCAGATGACTGCATTCTAAGACAAAAGAATGTTAAGTACATGGAACAG